CTGCGCTCGTGCCGCGCTTCGCGCAAAAAAGTCGTTATTCAATTAAAAGATAGACACGCATCATATAGTCGCAGACCGCTGTCGTCGTGTCGACCTTGGTCATCTGCAGCGTAGTGGTCTTGGTCGTCGCCCGTGCTACGTGGGGGCTTCTTGGCCTTTTTGCGCTTCTTCGCCGCTTGCTTGGCGATTTTCCTTCTCTTGAACGGCGGCGAGGCTGGTGCATCGTCGCGATTTTGCTCCACTGCATATTGCTCGATCTTCGTCGTCGGGGGAAGATCTATTCACAGCGTTTGTGCGCAGCATTATTAGTACGTCAGTAGATAATCTTGCATGCATGTACCTGTCTGCGCCTTCTTCCGTTGACGACGATTGCGCTCGTATTCATTCCTTTTCAGACGCCGTAGTCGCGCGGCCTCGACTACAAAAATATGATTCGTATCGATTGGGCATTGCAAGAAGCGCATACTCGAGTCCGATGCTACATTGTGGGACGCATGTTGCATAGAGGCCGCAACAGCTTGCTGCAGCATCGCCGGGAGATCTACATGGCAGAAGGTACAGAGTCCACGTCGTCGGTAGGTATAGCTACTCGGCTCGACTGGCCCAGCTTTGCTGTCCTGACGCGGTTCCATATCTTCATCGCTCATAGAAGGCCCGCTGTATGCGCGCGCATCGCCGGAAAGAGCAGCTGTAGACGCCGCCACAGTCCCCTTGGTTCGCTGCCGTCGTCTCTGCCCCGAGGCGATCTTCCGCTTCAGCTCCTTGGTCTCCTCGATCACAGTCGCTGCTTCCAGGGCGCGTGCAGCTTGGCGCTCCCGCTGCTTGCGCTTGCGCTCAGCTCCCGAGACTGGCGTCCCCACCATACGCGGATCCTCTGCTCTGTGCTTCGCGCGCGAATTGCAATTGAAACCTGCATATCGGATGTAACATCCGGATACGATTCTAACATGGCGATCTAACACTTTGATCTAACACCACGCGCAGTATTAAGGTCCCGCACTATCGCGCAGGACCCATCGATACCAAATGCACTCGCTACACTCGTACATTGCGCTATCGCGCACATTATCCTACCACGCTGCCATGCACTATCGCAAGTGCACACGCTACGCTCGGGATTAGCGCTGCGCGCATCGATGCCACATGCACTCGCTACGCTCGCGCATGGCATATGGCCCAACCGCGCTAACGCGCGGACCCCAGCTATCGCTG